GATAGTTCAGATCCAATTAGATCACACCCGTGGGGCCCCGGATGCCTGGCAGTTCCTGTAGCCCATGCGGCACACAACCTGGATAGCTCCCTCTCTGTTTCCTGCTGAGCTGGGGGTTCAGCGTGTGTCTCTGCAAAGTCCTAAATCACCTGCAGCAGTTAGTATCCCAGGGATGTGTGGGGTTTCTCTGTTTGGCAGGGAAGAGTAGGTTTTATTTCTGATCCTATAATCGTGTAAATTTCAGGTTCGTTGATATAAACAGAGCCATTTAATGATTACAGACATGGGAGAAGTAAGAGGAATGGATTCCTAATTTCTAGCTCCTTGGGTTCAAATTCCAACTATTGCACCTTCTAGCTATGAACCTTAGGGAAATGTACTGACCCTTTCTCACCTGTGAGATGGCGTAATGAGATTGTCACTTACAGTGTTGAATAAAGAATCAGTGAGCTTGAATAAAGAGTCAAGTGAAGTGTTCAAAGCAGTGCTCGGCATATAGCAAACATACGATATATGTTAGCTGCTAATAATAATAATTATTATTACTGCGCTCATGTGCCTCAGCAACTGGAATAAGTTACGACAGGTTTTCACCGCAAGTTTGGGAGACTCATAGTTACCAGCTCCTTGCAAAACTATTTTGGGCACATTCTCCCCTATCACTCCGTCTCATGTGTGAGAGCTTGTCAATAAATGTCATCTACACCACTAGCTTGCTGCCTCCAAGTCAGCAGAGTTGGGCGACTCTGTCTCTCGGGGGGCCAGGAAATGATGTTTCTCAGTAGTCAGACGAGCCCTGATCAGAACAATCAGCAGCAGTGATTCTGGGTTGGATTTTCAGAGACAGGCCTAGGGGACAGAAGCTGGCCACCACGGCTCCCTCTGCAGTGTGGCTCTGGGCAATTCACTTCTCCCTCTGGGCCTGGGGGCATTGTACTTGGAATTGGCCCAGCCCAGAGACAGTCACTAAGCCTCTCCTTCACATTTCTTTCAAAGCACCTGTCATGCTTGTAATTTCAACTGGGCAGCTGTTAAGTGATTTCTGGGTTCCTCTCTGCATTCATAGAGCCTCTCAGTGCATGGCACAGTGTTGGTGCTCATGTTAATATTTGTTGAATGAATGAATGAATGAATGAATGAATGAATGAATGAAGTGGTAGAAAGAGAGAGGTTTGGGAGCAAGACAGACCTGGTTTTCTATTAGAATTGGCTGCCTACTAGCTGAGTGAGCCTGTGCTAGTGTGAGTCTCAGGATTATCCTCTGTAAAAGGAATAGCAATAGAAGCAGCCTTACCAGGTTGTTTGAGGACTGAATGTGAAACACGCACCCACCACCACCACCCCGCCCCCCAACCCCGGCCTAATATCTGGCCTATAATGGGTATTAAGTAAACAGTAGCTGTTATTTGCCTCTCTTGAGACTGGCACAGGGGGGTGGAGTATTCTGTGTTCTGATGATTAAAAACTGGCTGAAAAAGGTAAATCTGAGTCTACTTTTATAGTCTTTGAGTGGGCTCACCTACCCAAAGTGGCTGGGGTACACGTGGTTTCCCACAACGCCCTTGGCCTGCCAGTGGCCCTGCTCTCCCCTTGCTCTCCCCTCCTTTCATCTTGGCTGCTACTTCTCCAACACCAGTACTTGCCTGTGGGCGAGACCCCACGCCAAATCCCTGGGCAGACATGAAACGGAATGAGGAGCAAGGGCGTAAGCGATGGCCTGCTGTGGGTGGGGACGCGAGGAGACCAGGGTCCCTGTCCTAGCTCTGACCTGACCCATGGGATCCTGGGCAAGCCACCTCTGTACGCCTCACTCTTGTCACCTGTGACGTGCTCAGCGCCATGACACAGCACCTGACAGTGGGTAGGAACCTGGCCAGGGTTTTGGGTTTAGAGCTGGCTTCCTCTCTCTGCTCCGCAACTTACCAGCTGGGAGAGGCAGGCAAGTTAAGTATGATTTCCTAAATAAAAAAAAAAAATTTAAAAAGACCCAATGGGATTCAAATAGGCTTATTTGGAGGCATTAATGGCACAGTCTCTGCAGAGAGCCTGGCAGTAAGTTAAGATCGTTGACCCAAGGGGCAGCCCTTATTTTCACTTAAAGTTTCTCCGTGCTGAGGAAGCCCAGGTGTCCTGAGTCAGAGGCGCAGCCATCAGCCTGCCTGCTGGCTCAGCAATCGCGTGGCCCCCACTGGGCGGGAGCGGCACCAGCTCACAGGCAATTATTTTAATGCAGGGCCTGGGCCCTTCCATTGTCTGCTTGGGTGTCTTCTTAGAGGAGCGTCTTCTCTCTCCTCCTCTCTCCTGCACCCTTCAAAGGGCCTCATAGTCCATACTTACCCATCCCTGAAATGCACGCACTGCCAGGTGGCCTCATTCCAGGGGGGACCTGCGGCCCTTTCTCCCTCTCCTGAAGGCTAGATGCCCGCTTCCTCACTCACCGCCGCAGCCACCTCCTGCTGGCAGGAGGGGAAGCTGCGAGGGACACAGAGAGCAGGCTGGCGGCCTCCTGTTTGAGGGGAGAAGAGAACCCACATGTATGCGGCCACCCTAGAGGCAGGCACTGTGCTAAGCATTTGTTTTACCCTCTTAACTACTTTGTGAAGTCGGGATGACTGATCCCCACTTTGCATGTGAGGAAGCCAAGGCCCCAAGAAATGAAACAAGCTGCCCAAGGATACACAGCTGGGAGCATAGCTGGGATTTGAACCTAGGCTGGTCTGGCATCTCTAGCTCTTGTTCTGCTGTTACACCATTGCTGGGCATAGGAGGTTGTTTGGGCTGAATAGGGTCCTTTTATTCACTGTACCATGAGGGGGGGACCCGGTTGCATAGTATTTATCTTGCCTTCTTCAAGCGCTGTCACTACTATACATCCATGGGGTCCCCAGAGAGGGGGCAGACCTCCCTCTGGACGGCAGGCCCTGCGTCCTCCTGCAGCCCCTCACAGACAGAGCGTGGCTGAAAGAGAGAGCCCGGAAGCCACTGAGCTCTGGATGCCCAGTCCCTTTGCTCAGCGTCACCGCCATGGGAGGGGGCAGCAGGGACATTGGGTGAGAGTTATTTTGTTTCCTCCGGAATGTGACAAAACATGAAAAGGGGAGTTTTTAAAACCTGTTCTCCATGATGTTGAGGAAAGAACATGGGCTTTCGAATCAGATTTAGTCAGACTCGTGTTGGAATCCCAGCTCCAGCCCTTGGCAGCTTTGTGGTCCTCCTCCACAGCTTATTCTTTAAAATTGCTTGGTAGGGTCAGCAGAAGGATCTTAAAAAGACAAGGAACGCAAAACGGACAGCAAAGCGCTCCACCGGGAGCCGAGCTCCGCAGCGGAGCGGGTGAGCGGCGCCTCCAGAAACGACAGCTGCCTCGCCCCGGTGTCCCTGGCTCCACATTGGGCCGCCCACCCCGCCACTCACATCTCCTTCACTGCCGTCAGAGCAATCTTCTTAACACCCTGAGTTAGTCATTTCCCCTCCTACTGATGGCGCCATGGATGCGGTCTGACCACCGTCCCCCAGAGCCAGGATCTCGCCTCACTCACCTCTGCAGCCACAGCGCCCCCACCCGCGCCCCTACCCACGCCCTGTGCTCCAGCCGCACAGCGTGTGGCTTCTCATTTTCTAAAGGAGCCACACGGCCCCACGCGTCTTCCCTCTGCCTGGATGATGTCACCAGCATCCCGTCTCCCCAGGAAACTCCCGCTCCTCCCTCAGGCCCCGCACAGGCACCCCCACGATGCCCCTCTGAGCCGTCTACAGCTACCACTTCTCTCTGGTCCTCCCTTCCCCGCCACGTCCTGTTACCTGTTTGTGGATGCGCCTTCCCAGCCAACCACGAGTGGGCCCGGGGCAGGCGCTGCCAACTGGGGCTGCTGGTCACCCCTAACCTGGTCCACTGTGGGCACTTAAAGGGCAGATCCAGCACCTCGTGAGCCACCACCCAGTGCCCGGCACGACTTGCGTGCTTTACCTAGTATATAGCTGATTTTCACAGCAGCTCGGAGGCAGTGTATCTGTCAACCCTGGCCTGAGGCAGAAACCATACCAATTATTTGAATAGCAAATCTTTAAAAGTGATTTGCTATAAACAAGATACAAAGTGTTCGCTTGGTAACAAAAAAAGCGAAAAATAGAAAATTGCAGGGAACAGTTACCACCGCTGGAGCGGGAGGAGTAGAGGTAGGGATTACTGTAACGTTATTACTGTAACATTACTGTAACGTGAGGCTGGCCCCCCGGCCTGGGCTGGGGGGTGGGGGGGGTCAGCAGGCAGCTCCCGGGGCAGCAGCAGCAGCACTGGGCGGAGATGGGAGGACGAGGCGGCGGCTTCTGAGTGTTGGAGAAACTGCAAAAGTGGAGTTAGCGGCGGCTAAAGGAGGAAAGTGCCGCTGCCGGTGTGAAGAAAGGAGGTGGGGTGACAGTCCCAGGAACAGGAAACAACAGGAAGGAGAGAGCTCTTCCTTCCTCCCCCAGACTGTCAGTCTCCCTCCCATGGCCCCCGTTGGCAGCCCCTCACGGGTAGCAGCTGGCAAAGCAGAAAAAGGGTTTGCAGAGTCCCAGCTTCAGCATCACAAAGCAGGTTTAGGGCTGAGCGATGAAAATGTATACACTGGGACACGCCAAGGCCATTACTAATTCCCGTGTCACAGGTGGGGAAACTGAGGCACGGGGAGATCAAGTAACTTGTCCGATTAAATGACTCCCTAGAGCAGCGCCGGGATTTGAACCCAGGCCACCTGGACTCAGTGTCCTTGCTCTTAACTAGTAACTACTCTTAACTACTGTAAATGTTGAACGAATGAATGAATGAGAGAGGGAGGGAGGGAGGGAGCAAGCGAGGGAGCAAGGGAGGGAAGGAAGGAAGGAAGGAAGGAATGAATGAATGAATGAATGAATGAATGAATGAATGGGCGAGCCCAGAAATGAGGCTCAGGCCAGTGCCCAGCGTGGCTCCTACAAGCACGAGGTCCTCCCTGCCTGACGGCCTCCTTATGCCCTGCCAGGTCATTCACTGGAACTCCCCCAAGAAACTTCGGGTGAAGAACAAGCACGTGGAGTTCTTCCGCAACCTCTACCTGACCTTCCTGGAGTACGACGGGAACCTCCTGAGGCGGGAACTGTTCGGCTGCCCCAGTGAGGCTGATGTCAACAGTGAAAACGTAAGTGGCGCATGGGGCTTGGCAGCGCAGGCACGGGCTCTCTGCCGGTCGGCCAAGGACCTGCAGTGTGCCAGGCTCTGTGCCAGGCTCCAGGCATGACCGAGGCGAGCAAGCGTCATCGCTGCCCCGGAGTCCAGCAGACGGGCATGTAGGCAGGTCCCCGCCATGCCTGTCACGGGGGATGCAGAGGGCCAGTGCTTGGCCCACACTAGGTGAAGTCAGGCATGAGTTTCCAAGCAGAGGGATCAGAATGAGCAAAAACACTATTGAGTCAACAGATAAAGGGCCTCTCCACAGCCAGGAAGCTCTGAGGTACCTGTGGACATGCACCCCCACGGGAGACCCGGGATTCAGTGTCGTCAGTGCATGGGCCGACACCAGAGATTTTCACAAGAAACTGACTCCTTTAGGGCTTAACCTGGAGGAAGAGAGTGTTAGGCGAGTGCTCTCAGGCAGAGCTAATGTTTATATTTTCTTACTTATTCGTCATTTATAATTATTTTCATATGTTATATCCCAGGTATTCCTAGAAACTCCTTCTTCTTTCCAATTAGAGTTGAATAAATTTAGGGACAGAGAGGTTAAGCAGGTTGTTCATGGTCACACCGCAAGCCAGGACCCAAGTCAAGGCTGATTTGAAGCTCTGAGGTGCAAGATGCAGGGAAGCAGCGGCACACTGTGGTGGACAAAGCAGGGAACGCAGGAGTCAGGGTGGCCTGGGTCTGGCTTTAATTCCATCCACTTACCACCTGTGTGACCTCAGGCAAGTTTCTCAACCTCTCTGTGCTTCAGTTTCCTCAGCTGTCAAATGGGGATGGAAAACCATCACAGGGACGCTGGGAGACTAAGTGAGAAATTGAATCTAAAGCACCTGGATCAACATCTGTCGTGTGTCAGATGCCTGATAAGTATTTGTTCCCTACCTTTTCCTTGACCCTTAGTATTAGACACAGAAGTGATCAGTACATTTCGTCAGTCAACAAACATCTACAGAGGGTTTTCTTATTGGGAGCACTGAGTATCAGTCAGTAAAAAAGGATCATGGTCCCTATTGTCACGGCGCTTATACTTTAAGGAGAAACACAATTAATCACTAGACAAACTATCAGGAGAAATTAACAGCCTGTGGCAAATGCTGCATAGCAACATCTTAGAAAGCAGTCGGACAGCTCTATTGGTTTGGGAGTTCTGGGAGGACTTCTCTGAGGTGATGTTTCATCTGAGACCTGAAAACAATGCTAGAAAGAGCATGGGACCAGGGAAACACAAATCGGAACCACAAGGAGATACCACCTCCCACTTTTTGGAATGGCTATTATCAAAAAACAAAAGATAATGAGAGTTGGCAAGGAGAAACCGGAACCTGGCACACTGTTGATAGAATGTCAGTTGGTGCGGCTGCTGTGGAAAACTGTGTGGAGGTTCCTCAAAAAATTAAAAATAGAGCTGCTTTTATGATCCAGGAATTGCACTGCTGGGAATACACCCAGAGGAATCACAGTGAGAATCTGGAAGTGCTTCCTGCACCCCCATGTTCACTGTGGTGTTGATCACAATAGCCAAGAGGGGGGGAACATCCGAAGTGTCCACTGACAGATGGGTGAACAAAGAAAGTGTGTTTTATACACAATAGAATATTATCCAGCATTTAAAAAGAAGGAATGGGGACGGGGGGGGTCTTACCATTGTGACAACATGGATGGACCTGGAAGACATTATGCTAAGTGAAATGTCCATCATGGAATGACAGTACTATGTGACTGCTCAGATGTGAAGCATCTAAAATGGGGAAAACCAGAGAAGTGGACAATAGAATGGTGCTTGCAAGGGGTGAGGAGACGGCGGAGAGAGAGTTGTTCAGTGAACATAAAGTTACAGTTATACAAGGTGAGCTCTGTTACCTCAATTGTAGGGATGGTAATTGAGCATATGAGGTCTGTCCAGAAGGTATCCAGTGATGTGCTATGAAAAATATAGTCCTTTATTGAAGAAGATACAAGATATAAGAAACATTGTGCACAGGACAGTGAGGCCTCAGTCCCCTTCAAAGTAGGCACGTTGGGACCTCACACAGTTCTCCCATCAGCTGCCCCATCATATTTTCTTGAATCTCATCGACGGTCTGAAATCTCTTCCCTTTCAAAGGTGATTATAGTTTTGGGAAAAGCCAGACATTGTAGGACCCCAAATCTGGGTTGTAGTGGGACTGAATCACCTGGGTGATTTGATGTTTGGCCAAAAAACTCTGCACGAGACGTGATGCATGAGCGGGCACATTGTGATGAAACTGCCAATCACCAATTGCCCATAGCTGCAGCCTCTGAATCATCTGAATAGTTTCCATGGAGGAATGCTCAAGCCTAACAAAAATTTGATGCAGATTCATTACTCGCTCAGTCATTTTGAATGCTGTTGGCCACACAGTATACATGCTCACTCAATAGCATCTACCACACCCACTGACTAGTACAGTGAAGGTGCCATTGTTCACACATGCGCATTCCAGTCCACTGTCCTTGGCTGCCAGGTTACATCAATATTGTGCAAACCCTTGTCATTATATTAACAATGGCTGGACTTTTTCTGGACAGACCTTGTGTACATATGTACAAATTCATCATACTGTGTACACTTACTATGTGCAAATTTTTGTATGCTAATTATATACCTCAATAAAGCTAGAGGGGGGAAAAAAGAAGAGGAGCAAAGGAAGTACTTCTTGAGGAAGAAAGTAGCAGGCGCAAGGGCCCTGGGGCAGGGCAGGTTTGTGGTGAGGAGCTGAAAGCTGATGTCTGCGTGCCCAGGGGCTCGTGGGGAAGGAGTGCACTGGGAGGAGAGGAGCAGCAGGTAGGCAGGAGTCAGACCGAAAGGATGTTGTGAGCCAGGTTCAAGAGTCAGGACTTGGTTGTATTACTGTTATTGTTATTATTCATATTCTTATCTTGGACATCATGAGGAGCCTTTTAGGCTCCCAAAGGGCAGGGGAGGGCCTCTGTGGGAGGTCTGGAGTCACGTGCTCGCCTGGCCCTGGTCACAAGGCCACCCCTGCTCTCTATCATTTGGCCCCAAGTCACAGCAGAGTTGGTTCTGGCTCCAGCTTTTTTCCCTGCATCACCCTGGTTGCCTTTCTCAGCATCTGCCCTTTTACACCACTGGCAATAGCGGGAAGAAAACCATTATGCACTTGAACTCTGTCTCAGATGCTGGGAAGCACTTACAGGTTTTGACAAACACTGTGTTCTTTTGGTTTTTCCTTCCGTTCTCTTTACTCAAGTCAGTATTTGTCATCATCATCAGCATTTGAGTGCCCATTCACCACTTTATTCCGGACACTAAATAAAAACTAACTCTCTCTCCCTCTCTCTCTCTCTCTCTCTCTCTCTCTCTCTCTCTCTCTCCTCCCTTCCACGGAAGAGGCTCCTTGGCAGGATGTAGCTTTCAGTTACTCATCACAGCAAGGGGTTCCCCTGGTCTCTTTCAGTGTCTTAGGAAGTGGGACTCCCTTTATAAATGACTCACCAGCGTTTCCTACCATCCCCCACCCCTGGGGTCCCGGGAGAGGTGGCGGAGGTGGGTGAGTCCCCCGTGGTCCTCCTCAGAGCCTGCGACTGCATGTGTTTGCTCAATAAGCACACGTGAGTGCCGGCCATCCGCCAGGCACGGGCAGGGCGCTGGGGTCGAACTTAGAGGCCGGCCTGGTCCCTGCACATGAACCATGTGCCAGCGGTGCCTGGGGGATGGTCTGTCCAGCTTCAGGGAGGACCATGCACCAGAGAGCGGCCTTCTGTGAGCGCACAGCCCAGCTGTCCTCCGGAACACTCTTGCCCTTGACACTGCAAGAGCCACACTTGCCGCCTTTGCTGTTCCTTCCACATCCCCGCTCACTCCCGCCCGCCACAGGGCCTCTGTGCTTGCCTTCCTCCTGCCGGGACCACCCTGCCCGGACCACCCTGCCCCGAGGTGTGTAAACGTCTCAGAGGTGGCATCTTCAGAAACTTTGCCTGACCCGCCTCAGCGTCGTGACCCTTTGTCACTCTGTGGCATGCCCGTCACACAACTGCACTGCCCACAACTGTTTCCTAGTTTTGTTCCCAACTAGAAGACCGTTAGGTTAGTGGCTTTTCCTGTACCATTCACCTCTGAGGCACCCTCCTCCAGAATGGAAGCAAGCACATAGTAACCACTTAATAAATATTTATTCAATAAATCAAATACATGAGAGAAAAGGATGAAGTACCAGGTTAAGGCAGAGAAGATGAAGAAGTAGAGCGTTCAGCCCTGGCCATGGGGCTCAGTTGGTAGGAGCATCATCATGTACCCCAAAAGGTTGCAGGTTCGATTCCCAGTCAGGGCACATTCCTAGGTTGTGGGTTTGTCCCCAGTTGGGACGCATGCAGGAGGCAACCAATCGATGTTTCTCTCTCACATTGATGTTTCTCTCTCTCTCTCTGTCTCCCACTTCCTCTCTGTCTAAAAGTCAATAAACTGTGTCCTCAGGTGAGGATTCAAAAAAAAGAAGGAGAGAGTTCGAAGAGAACCTGCTGGGCATTTGTTTGCTAGGGCTGAGGCACGATGGGAGATGGGCAGAGAATGAACTAGTCACAGAGCCTTGGCTGTGTTCAGGAATCTAGACGCCACGGAACACTTTTAATCTTGGCCAGATTTACATGTGAGAAAAATCACTCCGAGTAGAGAATAGGATGAAAGAGCCACGACTGGAGGCAGGGAGACCACTTAGAGACTGTTGCCGCATTCCAGGCAAGAAGGTGACGATGGGGCTGTGACCCGGGCCAGCAGCTGTGGGCAGGGATAGAACAGATGGATTGTTCTGTGGGCACTAAGGTCAGGGGAGCAAGGGCAAGTGGCACTCAAGGATCAAGACAGCAGGTCTCTGTGCCCCGCTCCAGCCAGGCACGTCCGGCGAGCCGGCCCACAGTGGCAGCGCGGGGCGAGGAGAGGGCCTGCAGCGTCGCGGCCCTGGAACTGCGCCTCCGCAGGGA